GAATGTGACATAATTAGAAGTCCCTTGCTTCAGGCGAGCACAAGTCGCTACGCGTGGTCTTTCCCTTTGTGGGAAGCTAGCGCTATTCTTACGTCACGTACTCTTTTTTTAAAGTTTTATTGCTTTTCGCCACGTGGGTTTTCCAAAAGCAATAAAATATCTAAAAAATGACTTCCTCAACTATTCTTCGAAATCCTTTCTATTTTAACGAAATCTTAGGAAAACTCAAAAAAATAACTTGAGTAATAATCGTTAACCTCAATCCTTAAGTTTGTCGCTATTCATTTTCAGCTTTTCTTAAAATATATTTTAAATAATTATGTAAAATAATTAAAATATATTCAGACCTTACACTGACAAAAACAATTAAATAGAATTTGTTTTTATTAGTATAGTACTTATTAATTTCTCTATTTAATCCTATCTTTTAATTTTTTTTTCAACCCTATCGCAACCTTGTATTGTTAATTGTTTGTAATAAAAATATTGTTTGGGAATTTTATGAAATTTGATCTAAGCACTTTTATTAAATATAAAATTTTTTCAATCTTCTTAATTTTCCATACATATCAGCATAGGGGCTTTTTATAATGCGGTTGGACTAAATGCCGCAATATTATCTGAGTTTTTTGAAATGCTTATGAAAATTTTATCTCCTTGAATAAAAATCGAATCTTGTCGTTGGCTAGCTCTCATTATTAGATATGTCCTGGTTAAACATTTCGATGAAATCTTATAGAAAACAATTTTGTTGGAATAAATCGGTAAATTGCATCAGGAATATCAAACTTTTTAAAGTATTTATAAGACATTTTCTTATCAATTCTTATTAAATGTGTGATATTTCTGATGTAATTATTCGATTTTTTCTTATAACGTAATAAGAATCCTTAAGAAACTTTCGTATCATTATTTATCGGAATTTACATAAAATTTTTGAGAATATTATGATCGCTTTGTATAAAAATCTATAAGCATGTTTTATATCGTTTTTTATCGGAATTTATTTTCTCACCACAAAAGAAAATCAGTTTAAACAAGAGAAATTTTAATTCGCTCTGGACGTTTCGTATTTATACGGTTCGTTGTTTAAATATACACCTGAAATAAAATTTATTAGAAATTTTGTCGGACAAAATCCTGCTGATGGTGAGATTCGATCCTGGCATCCTCAGGTCCACAGTCCAATACGCTGCCGAATGCGCTATTCTAAAACATGGGAACATGACTTCAGCCTCATCGATTTGAGTTGAAAATTTGAAATAAATTAACTATAAATTGAGTTTGCTTCCTAGCAAATATTTCTAAGCAGAAATAAAATAATTGTCATTTGTAAAGATATGAAAGTTAAAATGCAACTTAAAAACCATATCATTTTTTCAATAAACCATAACAGGATTTTCTTTTACTGAAGAGGGAAACATTAAAACAATTTCTGGAGGGAAGAGATAAATTCTTATTAGTAAATGATTTTTATTAACATCTCAACTATTTCTATAAGAAATTCTGAGACTAAGTCTCATAAGATGCTACAAGAATTTATCAGTCAATGTAGCCATTTGATTCTTAGTCTGATTCTGTACGATTCTATTAGAACGAATGTCATCAGATTGAATAAGAACTTATAGGCAAATAATGTCGTCAACATATCAACTATTTTTATAAGAAACTATTAGAACCTTTCTCATGAGATCCTATTAGAATGTATAAGTAAATAACGCTGTTTGATTATCCGCTCGATTGTATATGATTCTATAAGAAAGAATGTTATCAAATTAAATAAGAACTTATTGGTAAATAATTTTTATCTACAAATCAACTATTTTTCTCAAAAAGTCTGAGACTGTGTCCCATACGATTTATCTTTAACCAGTGGAATTTTACTATTTCCTATTGTACCACTAAGCAATGCTACAAATAGTAAATATTCATAGGATAGTACGAAATAAACAATATTCATATTCAGAGGAATATTTGCTTTTATAAAAAGTTCAATACGAAAATATGGATTTTAATCGGAATTGAGAATCAATATTATAAACCTATAGGATTCTGATTTTTTCTATGAACGAATTTGAATAGGATTATAAAAATGGAATAGGAACTGGCAATGAAATCAGAAATACAAAAATACTATAGAGTATCAAATTCAAGTATGAATAGGAATAAAATTCATTCATTTTTTCATTTTATAGTAATAATATTTAATGGATTATGCTTCCATAATGACTTCGTCTGATAGGATGCAGTCTGATTTTCGAGGTTAATATAAAATAAGGAAATAATACTAAAAAATTACTTTCTTTGCTTAAACATTGCTATTGGAAAAGGTTAAATCATTTAGGATTTTTCCTGTAGCAAAATCCTAGTAGAGAATATCGTAATAAGAAAATATTTTCTAAGTCACATTTTCATGCTTGATGAATTCATAAACGTGTATGAAAAATGGTCTTATAGTTTCTGATAAAAATAGTTGATATGTTGATGGAAATTGTTTACCAATAAGTCCTTATTCAATCTAATAATATTTTATCTTACAGCATCATATACATTCGTATGAGAAATTCAATGGCGTCGCTTACTCATAACATAGCAATTTTTATAAATTAAAAATATTATTTACCTGTAATTTTTTATTGAAACATATTGTTAGTATTCATTCTTACATATACTTACAAAATTCATCAAAAGTTTTTGTACTCTAATAAATTCTGATTAATTCTTATTGAATGGTTATAATAACATTTTTGGTCTTCTTATAGACCCGATACGTTTTTATTTATTCTTATAAATTGTGTATTAGAATCTATCGGAAATTATAAGTTTTTATGTGTTTGTTTTACCAGGGTGGTTGAATATTTTTGATGCTACTTTTTTTTATTATTTATTAAAAATTATAGAGATTTGTACCTTCCGGAAACACAGTTATATTATTCTATGGTATTTTTATGTGTTCAATATTCGGTATTGTCAAACACACGTTGATTACGTACAAAAATGAATCTAAGCAAAAGCAGATTTGGAAAACACGTGTTCAATCGCTCAACTCCCTCTAGTTTTTCTCTTTTTTTTTTCTTTTTCCTCCTTTAGAGTGTCGTTGCCTTTGCAAATCTGTAGGATTAATATTTAGAAAGTACAATAAGAAATTTTTTAATGAACTGACATTAATCGTTGCAACTTACAATAAATGTACTCAATAACAACATAATAAATCCTACTTTTTTTCCATTGTTGACAGCACCTTTACGTTTTCGTCCCACTGTTACATCTGAGGCATGCAATCACTCCGCAAGTGTCAGCAATGCACGCAAATTTTTTGCAAATGAACGTTTACATGATTACGATGCTCATAATTATTACAATGTATTTATACAATTTGATATTCATATAATGCTTAGGATATATTTTATAGAATTTTAAGTCAATCTAGAAATAAAATAATTAATAAATAAATTACTACTGAGTTCTCCTGTGCATAAATTGACGATAGTGTAAAGTACCATTTCTCCATTGAAATCCCGCAAACATGGGTACGTTTCTAATATGTGTTTTATAGTGGGTTGGTCCTTTTTTGGCCATGCTCTTCGATTAATATATGTATCTTGTAAAGCATTTTTAATGATTGTTTTATTGTAATTTGTTCGCATTTGTAATTTAGAGACAAAGTGACAAGCTCCACAAAACCTGCCACTGCCAAATTCTGAGATCCAAAGGATACGCCTAGTAGGTAAATGTCCCCGCTTGTCTAGGACAATGACCTACACATCGATCACCGTATCGACCCATGGGGCGTTAATTGAATACTTCCACGTGACGTAGAGGACCCAAAATGTACTGCGGAAGTAAAAAGATGACAGTTTAGAATACATCAAATCGTGAGCGAAAGAATCATATCATCTTAATATCATTTTTTCTATCTAACTCATTGTATGTGTATGATAATAAGTCTGCGATTACCTGACAATCGAGTCGAATAAATTTATAAGTTTTACGTATATGAGTGATTTTTGGGATAAATTGGCGTTTTCGTCCTATTATATAAATAAGGTGCTAAGAAAACCCATGGGGTAAAAAGAAATAATTATTTCGAGTTCAGTTAATATAAAATCAAAACTATTTTGCAAGATTTCATTTGTAATAAACTCTTTTAGTGTAAATAATAAACTTGAAGTCCTCGCGAATCGAGGCTATTTATGCGAGTCCTTTATATACTGTAGAAGGCAGAAATCTGCCTGGAGCCTAACCTGGTCCCGATTTTTATACTTTTCAATTTAATAAAGACATGATATATTTTTTTGGGCTTCAACTGGCCAGCACCTGCGGAAAAGAGGTGGCAAGAGCTCTAGATGCACGGTGCTTGGTTTCAATTTTATCATGCAAATCTAAAAAACATTCAAAATAATAAACTGTTTTATGTTCTAAGAATTGTCTAACTACTTAACAGAATATAGATTGTGATGAAAATATTACTTTCTCGTTAATAATTCTATCGGAGACATTTTCACTGTTTCAAGAGACACGTTTATTTTAGTAGTGTCTCGAGCGCCAAGTATGAATAGCGGTGACGAAGGCACTACCGTGTCTCTATTCCGCCCAAATTAGCACTTTTGAGGTTATGCTCCTTTAAATTTCTAATTTCTCTGCAATAATGACATAAATGACATAAACTTTATTAAAAAATCTTTGAAAACCCTATTGATTAGCTACGACAATAAATTGCAATTGCTATTGTGCCCTGAAAATCATTTATTTGCAAAAATAAAAATTGGCCACGCCCCTTGGACCGCATTTTAAGTAAAAAGAATCTTTTTCCTTAAAAGTACGACTTTTTTTTATAAAGTTGGTACTACCATGAAGTTGCTGCATGACTATGGAAAATATTATGTTGGTAAAAAACGAAAGAATTACTGAGGCGCCAAATTATGAATGTAAATTTTTTTTGGTACAAAAAATTAATAAAAAGTAATAAAGTTTTGGGGAGTGTATCAATCGAGATATACCGTGTACCTATTACTTAAATAAAACAACCATCTTTCAATAAATGTTCTTTTAGCGCTGGTGAGCGTGTTGAATGCTCCTTTCTGTCAAACGTACCTATACATAAATCAAGTAAGTACGGTAGTTGATAGTAGCGGTAAATTAATCATAAATTGTCAGACGAAGATATTTTATTTATCTGTCAATAGTTGTGACTGTACAGAGATATTAAAAAATCGGTGTGATTGATTTTCTGAATACTTTTTAATAAAATTCAATTTACAGGTCATCGAAACAAGAACACAAAATTTACTAAAAGATGAAAAAACGAAACAAAAAATTAAAATAGATGTTTCTACAAAGAAAAAAAAAGAGGTAGTGTGGGAAAAATCTCAAGCTGCGAAACAAAATGTAAGGGTTATTTTATTGCAATAACAATGAAGTAAAGTACAACTAAATGAACATTGTCATTTTACAGTTCAATGTCTTGTTCCAGATATTACACATCAAAAAGAAAAAAAGAAAAAGAAGAGGAGTTGGAAAAGAAAAGGGTTCGACAAATTATTAAAAATATTAGGAAAAAATTAAATAGATTTGAAATCATGTTTTCATGTTTTTTTGAATTTTTCATAATTTTGAGGTACAGATAAATTAAAATATACACTTTTTTTGGTAAATAAATAAAAAAATACAAAAAAAAATAATCAATGAATATTCTACTAATCATAATGAATATACTTTATATTCAATAAATACATGTACTAGAGGATCATTGAATAAATAAACACAATGAACGGTTGAAACTGTTTCTACTCTACCAATATTGTAAATTTACTGCTAGCACATTTCGAAAGGGGCACAAATGTTATATGACTAAAATGTTCAGGACAGTACAGTTCTGGTACAAATGTCGCTCCAGTACAATAGTATAAGGCATTAAAGACGCAACAGTTAAAATTGTGTTAAAATTATTAATAATTCTTTTCAAAATTACTTTTTATTTGAATTGAGTTTTTGGGAAAATTCTCAATATAGATTTACAGAAGAATTCAAATAGTTATTCTGTTGACTTCTGATTCACTCTCATGTGAATGCAGCATGAATCTTCTGTCTACTTACGACTTCATTCTGAACGGTCAATTTCCCCCTAAAGAAAACCAAAGTGTACAAAGTCTAGAGATTGTTATTTATTTTATAATGTTTAACGAAAAAGTAAGTGACTCATAAATGATAAGTAAGGTAGCTAATCTATTTTTTACATTTAATCACAATAATTAAAAATTCAACATAATAAGTATTTCTTTTCTTTTATTTGTAGGAAATTCTCATGAAAAAAGTTGATGGTGGGAATGCAATAGAAGAGAAATTGTATCCTACTAAATTGAAGAAAAAGAGAGGAGGAAAAATTTAAAGAATAGAATTTAAAATTTATGTGTTCATATGAATTATTGCACTAATTATTTTAGAGACTTTAAGTTCCTCTTTTTAGTCCTAGCCTTTCGACCAATAGACAGGGATGAGGGGATCTTCGATAGAGAAAGTAAAAATGTGTGATTTATATAAAAACAATAACAAAATTTTATTGAATGAAAATTATTGAAAAATTATAACAACAATTTAAACGTTACCAACAGATGATTTCTTTTACTCTGGTCGAGATGAATTACAATTAATTGGTCCTCAGTCGATGTTCCAGTCAGCGCAATTATTCACTTTTTCTCGCGAATTAATTTAAATATCAATTTAAAAATAATGTGACGATCAAATAAACTTCATGCAAAAATTTACAAACTTTGAAGTATTATCAATACACTACTCAAGACTTATGATTTCAAGAGATGTTCACGACGATCTGATCTCGATCTTACTTTTTCGACAACAACTGACTGATGCATCAAACCTTACGTATTTATTTAGTCGAATGTGACATAATTAGAAGTCCCTTGCTTCAGGCGAGCACAAGTCGCTACGCGTGGTCTTTCCCTTTTTGGAAAAGCTTAACGCTCTTCTTACGTCACGTACTCTTTTTTTAGAGTTTTATTGCTTTTCGCCACGTGGGTTTTCCAAAAGCAATAAAATATCTAAAAAATGACTTCCTCAACTATTCTTCGAAATCCTTTCTATTTTAACGAAATCTTAGGAAAACTCAAAAAAATAACTTGAGTAATAATCGTTAACCTCAATCCTTAAGTTTGTCGCTATTCATTTTCAGCTTTTCTTAAAATATATTTTAAATAATTATATGAAATAATTAAAAATACATTTAGACATTACATCGGTAAGAGATAACAATTTTTTTTTATTGAGTTGATAGTTAAATACTACCAGACTGAAGACTATTATACAGTACCGGACATAAATGCTGTGTGATTTTCTATAGGGCGGTATAGGAAAATCGCCTGTAGAACCCTCAAAAAATTGAAGAGCATCTATGTCCGGTACTGTATTATCTATATACAGATAGTGATGTCTGTTCTAAAATTCTATGTCATAGTAACGGAGTCGAATGATGCACATTCCGTTTGTTGTACAAAAAATCGTGAAATCACACCAAAAATAGCCCTAACGGACTTCACAAAAATACGCGCCAAGTATGAATAACGAAGACGATAATCATCGTTCATCAAGTGCGATCTCTATAAAACTTCTTTATGTGAATAACTACAAAAATGCATGGAATCATTGCAGCCAAGTATTTAAACATAAAGATTAATTATATTTAATAAAATAAAATAGAAATGTTTTTTAATTTTCGTTAAATTATTATGTAATTTTTAAATAATCAAAGACAAACTCTTTATAATGAGATGAAAAAAAAATTCAATACATGAAGAAAGTTGACAGCCTTATTACGTTTTAAAATTTTAAAAATAGAAAAAAAAATTGAATTAAAAACAAAATTTCTCTTTTTTTATAAAAATTTATTTAAACACAATTAACTCGGCATGGCTATCGATTATATGAACTATCTAATCAATTATCGTTTTATCTTCAGCTGTAAGAGCCACGCCAAGTTAATTGTGTTCAAATAAATTTTTATAAAAAAAGAGAAATTTTGTTTTTAATTCAATTTTTTTTTCTATTTTCAAAATTTTAAAACGTAATAAGGCTGTCAACTTTCTTCATGTATTGAATTTTTTTTCCATCTCATTATAAAGAGTTTGTCTTTGATTTATGTAAAAATTACATAATAATTTAACGAAAATTAAAAAACATTTCTATTTTATTTTATTAAATATAATTAATCTTTATGTTTAAATACTTGGCTGCAATGATTCCATGCATTTTTGTAGTTGTTCACATAAAGAAGTTTTATAGAGATCGCACTTGATGAACGATGATTATCGTCTTCGTTATTCATACTTGGCGCGTATTTTTGTGAAGTCCGTTAGGGCTATTTTTGGTGTGATTTCATCAAGACTAATATGTTCAACATCAGTACCATGGAGCAACTTTGGTAGACCCGACTCCTATCCCCACCACAAGGTGGGAATGAATTTGCGTCAAGTGAAGCTGTGCCGCGGGCGGTGGGGATAGGCGTGTAGCGTGAAGTAGGGGTTTATATTTACATGAGTAAAAAGAATTACATTAATAATTACCCTCCATAATTAGAATATTTATTGTAATTAGTCTTGTTCTTAATTATAAAAGTATCATAAGTAGTTAAATTACATGCAGTTATTTTAATAATTTTTATATTCATGTATTATTGATGCATGCGCGTAACGGGGGCCTCATATTGCAATTGAATGCCTGGGCTGCATCAAAGAGCATCAACGTGCCATCTAACATTAAAAAATATAACACACGACTCAACGGGTACACTAGCTGTGTGCAGGCCGTTGCACGGGTACAAGTGGTGAGGGCGACGGATGGTGGGACTGATGCCATCGCCGCGAGCTGTCTGAGCGCAGTTTTTAGCGTTCAGACCCGCTCGGCCAGGGCTTATGTACGGGTGGTGGGTTATTGCTGCCCCGACCGAGAGGTTCCCACGGTCAGATGAATGCTTTTTATTAGCCAATGATCGGCGTCTGCACGAGCTGCGCACAAACATTTTTGCATATTTATAACAGTTGTGCGCAGACTATTGTCTGTGGCACGTATCAACATATATCTTGAAGTGTGATTTCATTCTTATTATGAACAGAAGTGTTCATTTAATTATTTATCTTATTATTGGATATGTTTTTAAATTTTTATGAGTGTAAAATATTACATATTTTTATTTCTACATAAGCACATTGATTGTCACATATATTTTCACATTTTTATAAGTGTAAAATATTACATATTTTTATTTTTACATAAACATGTTTCATGAAATTTTACCCCTTTACCCACAAAATTATTTTTATCATATTTAACGTAATTTTTTCTCTCAAAAGACTTATAATATTTACTTACAATTTCATTGTTTTCGGAATATTTTCGACTAAAGCAAGATAAAAAGTAGCTAAGTGGATAATTAATAGACATAGCATACAAAAACATGATACAATATTGGCCGAAAACTTGAGAATCTTCTTGTTGTAAATGCTTGATGGAGTGTCGGAAGTATCTGCAATTCTCTCTAAGTCGTCTAAGGTGTTCTGGAATAATTGGTGGCAGTCCATAGCTGTCGAAGTAGCAGCCGACTCCATCTCAATTGACGTACATGGCAACCCAGTGTTGCCCTGGTTGTTTGTGGCCATCATTATTAACGACATGTGCTGTCGGTTTTGTCCACACCTTCGGGATTTTGTCGGCTGGATATACGCCTATAGTATTCTCTGGAATACACTGGAGGGCTTCTATAATTTGTAGCGTATTCATAACATGCTTCGCAGTTAGTGGTGCAACAATTTAAATTTTTGTTATCTGGTAGTTGTGCTGTAGATTTTGCCGCTATTGACAAATCGTTTTCGAAGACACCAGGTGTTGTTAAAAAATTTTTTAGCCAATCACTATAAATGATCTCATCGGTTGACTCATCAGTTAATGATGGTTTACTGATTTAATTTCATTGATATTTAATGTCATTGATATTTATAATTTTTTGGCATGCGGCTGTCCCGAATAAATGTTTTTGCATGAAACCTAGAGTGTAAATTTGATCAGCAGCGTGTGTAACAGCCCGTAGATTACTGTATACGGCCTTGATTGATGATGACCTCTCGTACCAAGGAATACCAACAAATACCATGTTGCACTGTCATCAAAATATTTGTGTGCTGTTTTGCTATTGACAATAGTGAATATGGAAATTCTGCAGAAATTATCCAGTGACCAATGATGTTTGCTTCTAGATTAATTAACGCAATTTCTTCTGCCAAACAATTAACGTCGTTATTATAGAATCCTTGGATATCAATTACAAACTTCATTTTAGATACAAATAATTCTTGATACTAAAAACGTGTTACAACTGAGTGACTAGCTCAATACTGAGCACTTTATTGAATTATATAATTATATTTAATCAAATATGTGCTCAGCCAGCAAAATCCACAATAATTTGGCGCGATGAATCAATTTTAAGTATATGTTCATATTCAGCTTAAATAATACAGTTTATAGTTGAAGCTAGGGCATCATCAAAGAGTACCTCAAGACGCACGCTGCTATGGCGGATCAAATTCCAGTGTGTATTACTATTTGCCAGCAAGATCAGGTGTTAAGTCAAAAGCAAATAAACAATAGCCGTTTGGATAATCCGTGCGGCTAATTTCGTTTCCTTCATTAAGAAAATGTATTCCTGTTTCTGAGAATAATGGATGATAGCAGTCAAGATACAGGGAATTTTTAGTGAAATCTGGCTGTAGAGGTTTTGAGGGAATTTGTCGTCCATCGACATACAAGAATAAACAATTAATTTTATAATGATGAGAATTGAACGGGTTTAATTTCCGATCGACGTTGAAAGCCTTATGATCAACAAAACCACCAGCACGAGCAATCGTTGGCAAAGTACCTGGTGTTATTTTTACACGTCTCATTATTGAAGAGGTCTCAATTATGTCAACTTTACATTCAGCATTAGCCGCGTCCATTCAACAAAACGAATCTCGAGATTTTGTCAAGCGTAAGCGTATTTCCACGCCATTTATTAAAAAGCGTTCTTGATTGAACACGTCACAATGTAAATGATCAAAAAAATCAAACGTTTTTCCATATGATAAATATTGACGACGTTTTTTCAGCTCTTCATTCTCATCAGTGAGACTGTTCATTTTACTAGGTGTATCTTGAGCCCAGCCAACGGTACTCAGATGTGAATTTTTCGCGTCTCGTCCATAATTTAACAGTGTTTTAATGTAGGCTCTATAGACGTATAAACTATTAGGAGGTAATACACATTTTTGGTTAAAAAGAACTTCAACTTGATTAAACATAAAATGCATAAAATTATTTATAGGCGCGACAGCCATAGGTTGCGGGCCGGCTTTAGGATCACTTGCAGCCATTGGCGTATGGCGGGCTGTAATTTTGACTTTTGAATTCAACATAGTATGCGCGAGGTCTATGTATTCATCTCTTTGGCATTGAACGACAAATTCAATAGGTGAATTATCCGTTAACGATGGAATTGGCTTGTACAACACTAGTTGAGAACCTTCAATTGTTGTTTGTATAGGTGAAACAGAGAATAATTTCAACTCTGTTTTTGCACATTCACATGATGGTACATGAAGAACAGCCATAGTTATTTTGTAAATATGTTTGCCACGCACCGCGATTTCTTACTTGCCTTTTCGACTTCTTAATTTTTCTTGCGTTTCTTTTAATTTTACGGTTTTTACTCTTCTTCTTTACTCAACGTCTCTGCTTTTTTGACTTTTTAACTTTTTTTGTACCGCATTTTCTTCTTTTTTGAAAGTCGATGTTCTCTAAACGGCTGCCCAGAAGCAATTATTTATCTGATGATGAACCTACCGGTATGTAGCCAGAACCTCTCATTAAACTATCAATTTTTTTTAGCTTTGCGTTACAAATTTCGCCCTCACTCTCATAAACGCGTGCGAGCTGATTCTTCGAATGACAAACCGTTGTCAAGTACATCGTGAGAAATATTTAGGCCTGACTTGAGAGCTTCTTTACCGACAACTTTTGCGCCACTTTTTAAGAAGGGCAGAGCACTCCTAAATAAGCTACCCAGAAAACTACCGATACCATGACATCTCTGATGAGGTGATCCAATGTAAATTTGACTAATGCCACTGTAACCACTACGCCCAAACCCACGCTGTGGAATATCGTATTCAATTGCTTGATACATATCTATCTTAGCCTTCTAAAGTGTAGCGTTACTGTCAGCGTACCGTGTTTAAATGGTATAGGTTTATCGAACTTATCTCTTATATCTATTTCGATTGTACGAATAGCCGTTGTTGATAGTGGTATGTAGAGCATTGTTGAAAATGACTTTATTTCCGTTGATTTATATGCATAGTTATGCATATCAAGAGGCACAATACGTATTAATGATGTCTGTACATCACCTGTTAAATAATTTTGACAAATATCTGTATAAATAAATAAGCTGCATGGTAGAGATGCAAAGATGCTTGCAAGCCGTGTGCTTTAGAGATGAGCTGATAATTTAGGTGTATTCTTTGCTGGGAACCCAAGAATTTGCTGGAGATAAGGTGATCGTTGGACCAGATGTACCCCATTACAACTGTCGTCGCAAATCATTGTAGTTTCAACACAACCACCAGAATTCACCATTCATTTGATATGCTCGTTCATAATGTCGAGTTTATGTAATTCATCAGTTGGATGCTTAAGTGTTTGATATACACCAACAGGAATAAACGACTCATGAATTTCTGCTTTGTCAAAATTATAAGTATTAGCAGCGTTTTCTCTCGCGAATTCTAGTATATCGACGTCATGTATGAGTGGAAAAGAAACACTGGCATATTTTGCAGGCACATTCAAAAGATTCATAGAAATACTTATTTCTTCCAAGAATACGCCCCACTCCCTAGGCAATTTTAGAGGATGTGATAATTGTGTAACAAAGTGCGTTGTTATATTTTCAGGAAAATAAATCATCCTACTATTACTAGGTAAGATTATGTGGAACTCGTCTTTTTGCAGTGTCATTTTTATTTTCTTGATTTTTGATCCACTCTTGACAGCTTCCCCTTATAAAAAGTACCATCTATATTTTGATGGTTTCAAACTTAAAGTATATATAAAGGCGGCTGACAAAATTTTGACACACAAATTATTTTAAAAATTTTTCCACTTCAGCCGCTTGTATAATCTTTTATGAAAGCGGCCCTTGTTTTACTGATGTGGACTAGATCATCAACGTTATATTTAGACATTTTCGATACTTTTTTACGCCATCTATTATTTTCATAACGATGTTGCATATTCTGAAAGGCTACTAATTCATTCTCAGTATCAAGTTCAAAAGGCATAAATTTTGTTGTATTGTGTTTAGTATGATTGTAAACTAAGACAATTTTCTGTAGAACATCAATGTATCTTTTTGTGTGGGCATATGTAAAATAACGCCACATTCGCTTTTTCAACGTGTGATTAAAGCGTTCAACAATAGCGGCTTTAACATCAGGATTTCTCACTGTTCTGAAAATAATTTCCTTTTCATTTAAAACTTTTTAAAAATCACTACCCAGAAATTCTTTACCACGATCTGCTTGTAATATGCGTAGCAATCTTTTATCACTACGTTTAAAAATCCGTGTCATTGCTCGAGCAACAGTTCAGCTTGTTTTGTCATGGAATTCTTTAACCCATAAGAATTTACTCAGAACATCAATGACAACTAATAAATACTTAATATTGTCATTATAAGTACACGGAGAAAACGAAAGTGTAAAAAATACCTAAATACGTACGCGATAGTCACAATTTTGCTGAGTAGCTTGTCGCTTCGGAGGTAAAAATTGTAAAAATTACAAACTTTATCAAAAATGGTAATTATTACAATTTCTAATTGCATGAGATCAAACAAAAATTGTAAGATATTCCGAGAAATAGATTATTTGTTGATAAAGAGTGACATTTAAAATTGTAAGGGTTCCTTCTAGAGTTATAAGAATTACATTTTTGAAACGTGAAACAAAACGATATACGTAATCATTTATACAAAGGAAAAATGATAGCTTTCAACAATTAACATGTACATGTTATAAATAAGTATTCAAGAATTACAGTTTTATTTTGTAAAAGAGAGTAGTTTTCTTACTTCTTTTTACAGTTTATAACTTAATAAGATTCATTATTTGATGGAAAAAAGGGGTTTCAATTTTATTTACTGTTTCTCTAGAGATGACTTAGTAAAAAACATTGCAAAATAGTTAATATTCATTCGTTTTCAGTCATGAACTTATTCTAGTCGAAGTTCAAGCTAGTCACAAATTGATCACTAAGAACGAATGAATATTGACTATTTTACAATGATTTATACTGATTCATTTGCAGAGAAATTGTACATTTGTATTTATTTTCAACAATAATAAAATTTTGTTTATTTCAGAACATTTTATTTATTTATAAAAATCAAACAATTGGCACATTCTTAAATACAAAATAAACATTTTAATCTACATTACTTTAGTAGTATTATGAGTATTTCTTCACTTACAATATTATTGATATGTTTAATGGATTGTCATCTTTTACAAATATACTCTTTACCATTTGGTAATAGTGATAAAGAGGATATACCATTTACGTCTCGTAAACTAACAATACTTCAAATAATTATGTTTGATGGTTCTACTTCGTATGCTTGAAAATGTGGGTCAAAGAATGCATCGATTTTAGTTGCTAAAAAAAATATATCTGAATTATTCGTGATTAATATTTCATCGATTTTGAAAAAATCAATTCTTCTTCACGACTAATATTAACAATTTTACTTTTCTTATATTTATTACCTTGGTATATAATCCATCTACAACTTTTCAGTTCTTTAGAAAACAAATTGTTCAATTTAAGTGTTAAAATTGTAGATGTTGTAATATCTGAAATTTTAATGATTTTTTGTGGCCCTAGTTTTGGTGAAGGATTACTAGGTGAATTTGAAGAAAAATAATCATACAATTGAAGTTGATGTCTCAATGCAAGTGTATAGGGTAAATTAACTCGTGAATTTGAGACTTTAGCTATACTTTTAAAAGACTTATTTTTACTTTCATATCTCATACACCAGACTAAACAAAGTGGGCCTATTAAACGCATAACTCTTTCATAATGTGTGGCATGATGATGCTTGGGTTTCAATTTTTTCCCCAATACTGTTTTATATAATTCTAAATGTTCTCGAATTAAACAACCTAAGAATTCATGAGACTTATGATGATTACTTCTTTCCATCAGAAAATTCAAAATTTCATTAAGAGTAATGTAAATATTCCATACCACATTACCTTCAGGTATAAGATCACCTAAAAGCATCCCTAAATGTCGCATTAAACAGATACATTCAGCAGAAGAAATTTTGAGATTAGACTTAGAAATTGAATCAGGTGAAATATCTGAAGGCTTGTTGTGCTTACAATTTTCTCCAAAGTCAAAGGATAACATTCTGTTGTTTAAAGTCTCCGAGCTAATGATTTTATTCTTGATAAAGTACTGAAATATATCAACAAGTTCATATTTACAAATCCCTTCTAAGAAATCATGCATAATGTCTACAGAAAGATTTTCAACAGCATGAAAATAAGGAAGTTCATTCCACACACATTTTTCAACAATACCACGAACATTATTTTTTGTTAAGTTCAGCATCTGAACTGCATTATTATACGATTGTGTACTTCTAACTAAATTTTGAATTTCAGTAGTTGTATCTTCTGAATCGTGTTTAGTAATTTCACAAAACCGACATGGATACGTTGACGAAAATGATTCAGTAAAGCCTAAAAGTTCATGCATAGTAAGATTATCGCCTAAAATTAATCCCAATTCAAAATGAACTTGTTCCTCTCCTTTGCACGTTTTAATCACAATTCCTTCAGTTGAAAGAAATTTCAAGTCATCAACCAATTTTCGAAAAATCATTGGTGCTCCAAAAATTTTTCTATCAATTGATTGAAATATTTGTACCAAAAAAATATTTTCTAATTTGCCTTGGAATTCTGGAGGTAATGAAGCTAACTGCATGTATACACCACTCATTTTTCCAGTGCTACCAGCATGTCCCCCTAAACAATTATTATTTTCAAAATCGTCACAATATGAGAATATTGGTAAGATAAATTTATTTGGATTAAGCCTCACAATTTTTTTCCACAAATCAGCAGAAACAAAATTACTGATAATTCCTTGATTACTCTGAGATTCTAAAAATCTATTATAAATTTTAATTCTATCAAAAACTGTTGGCATTTCCAAAAAACGCTTTAATACAAGAACTATTGGAATATACTGAATGGTTGCATTCTGTGGCTTTAGAAAATTTTTATTGTTTTTTCTTTTTATTTGAACATCTGAACCTACTATAACAGAAATTGGTGGAATAAAGTCCCCACTATCCTCATATTTTTGAAACCTTAAATATTCTGAATTCAATCCTTTAAATACATTTGATATACTTTCTAACAATTTCTTTATTAACTCCAATTTGTTAGTATCAAATTTCATTCTGTTAAAATCGAAAAGGATCACTATTTAAAAAATTTCCGACATCTGCAATTATATCCTGTATGATTTTTCGAGG